TGTGTGTGTCTAAGTGGTGTAGCAGGTCGCTAACCATTTCCCCTTGGATTATGGGGGCTTCATTCTGCTCCCCATCCCTGTCTTCCAGCTCAGGGGGCTGGGTACCCGGAGAACAACTGGTCTTAAAGACAGAGGCAAAGAAGGCATTAAGTACCTCAGCCTTTTCCTCATCCTTTGTCACTGTGTTTCCCCCTGCACCCAATAACAGATGGAGATTGTCCTTAGCCCTCCCTTTTGTTGCTAATGTATTTATAGAAACATTGTTTATTGTCTTTTATCAATTACTTATAATCACATTTAGGTTATATATCTCCATGTCATAAGACATAGCCCCAAGTTTCCAAGCCCAATAACAGATGGAGATTGTCCTTAGCCCTCCCTTTTGTTGCTAATGTATTTATAGAAACATTGTTTATTGTCTTTTATCAATTACTTATAATCACATTTAGGTTATATATCTCCATGTCATAAGACATAGCCCCAAGTTTCCAAGGTTGGGTTAATGCCCCTTGACTTTAGCAATCTAATTAGTCACCTTGTCTATACAGTTCCTTTTCTCTATAGAATGGAGAGACACAACTCCACAGAATCTAAAGCAGATGAATACTTCCAGCTTTAGCGTAAAATGAACTGCCCTCTTAAAGACAGATACACATTCCAGAGCACCTGAAATCAATGGAGCTGAAACTCATTAAAGATCCAAATCTGAATTTATCAAAGTTACGAGAACTTCAGACCTTATTGACTAAAGACTTATCTATGTTTACTGCATCTGGATTATATAGATTATTTATAAGAATTCTTAGATCTAATTATATTTAACCTTTTGGGTTTGAGCCAAAAGGAAAAATAAAGGTGTTTCCCTCCTGACCCATCCTTATAACTTCCCGAGAGGTAACTGCCACAGCCAGGTTGGATTTCTAAAAGAAACATAGAAGAGAGGTTAGAGAGAAAGATTGTAATTCTAGCAATCTCCGAACAAAACAATCAGGGGAACACATTCCGTTTCACATGGCAGAGTAGCAGGTGCTGCCTGCCTGAGATTTATGATTGTAGTTTACTGTCATTATTCTTATATTGAACATTTTCTACTAATAATAAAGTTAAATATCAAAAGCAAACCAATACTTCAGCTTATTAAACTTGGATTCACCTTTTAAGGCTCCTAGATAATCCCGAAAGTGCCAAAATCATAGTCACAACCAAGTTTAATCACTGTAACAGTGAGGAAAAACACTACAGCAGAATTTGAATTCCCTATGTGGAACCAGCAATACAGTACAAAGACGCAGGTAAGTATCAGAGATCAATGAGCACTCTTAGCTTGTGAGTGCATTTCTGGCCTGACGCAACTCAAGGACTTCAAGGTATGTAACCCATACCAAGGCCTAATTTCAGCTATTACTACCCACAAATTCCTGCCTGGCACAAGTGGTCCATCAGCAAACAGAACGAAGCACATCTCCTCTTTACATTTTCTGTATATAACTCAGCCGCAATTCTTCACATGGAAATCTTAAATAAGAGATTCTGAAACATGTGCTGTGTAACCTGTATTGCAAACTTCTAGCATTCAAGACCAGCTATTAGGCTAATGATAAGACTGATTTAAAATCATGAGCTTAAATTACTAAAGCTCAAGAAACCTGGGAAAACCAATGAGCCAACTAGAAACTTTTGTAACTTTAACTTTTTTAATTAATGTTTTTTTGCTTTTAAGAACACACTTGCATTTCTTCACATTTTCTAGAAATACAAATTTATTTCTATCTGCGTCTGTTCAACTTGCTCTGAGCGTGGCCTTGATAAGCAACTCCCACTGATCTTCAACCCCTTCTTACAAAGAGCGCTTGCAGGATTAAATATGCTGGGATCGTAAAAATTCTCTCCTTAGTCACTCTGCTGGCAAATAACTTGAGTAAGAAAAGAGAACACAGACACATTCATGATGCAAAACAAAGAGCAAAGTCCAATTGCACAGTATTAAATCAAATGACTGATCTTTTTTTCTCCTCCACAAAGAAGACATTAGCAGGATACAGCAGCACCTGCTGGAGAGTATAAAATATCACAGGTAAAATAAGGAATAAGAGCATAACGTATGAGTATTATTTAAAAAATAAATAAATACAGTTGATGTGGATTTCATTAGTCAGAAATGTGTGTTACCTAACTTCTCCTTTCCTCTGCCCACCTTCAAGAGCAAAGAAAAGTGCCATTCAGCTCCAAGATCCAGACTTCACTCTTGTCAGAGTGATAAAGCCCCAGAGTAAACCTGACCACACTTAAGAATTTATCCAGGTGGAAATCAGGTGCATTTCAAATCACAAACCCACCGCTGGTTTACAACCCTTACATTTCATCTTCAGGGAAGACAGAAAAAATTTTTGTGCCACAATTCAAAAGCTGTGATAACAAATGAGATCAAAACTGAGGCGCCCACATTGTGTCCTGGGACACTAGTGTCCTGGCCTGCTCCCCTGTGTCCTGTGCTGCTCCCTCCCTATTCCCCAGCCAAAAATGCTCTGTTCCAGCAAAGGAACAGGGCAGAGCAGCTGTGTGCACGTGCATCCAGTGAAGTGGGACTTCTCTCCTGCAGAGAAGTGAGACGAAAGATGTTGTACAAGGCAGGAGAACGCCCACATTGTGTCCTGGGACACTAGCGTCCTGGCCTGCTCCCCTGTGTCCTGTGCTGCTCCCTCCCTATTCCCCAGCCAAAAATGCTCTGTTCCAGCAAAGGAACAGGGCAGAGCAGCTGTGTGCACGTGCATCCAGTGAAGTGGGACTTCTCTCCTGCAGAGAAGTGAGACGAAAGATGTTGTACAAGGCAGGAGAGCAGAAAAAGGTCTCGGCACCACTTTGCGCTTCATTCTCCTTTGGAAAATGAAGCCCTGTGAGGAACAGTCCCAGCCCCACAGCCACAAGAATGGAAGATTACAAAAAAGAGAGATCATCAATTTCATCCATTCCTTAAATTCCTCTGCTCCCAAATCTAGCAGGTGTTGAATTAATGTGGTAGTTAGTAATAGCAATACTTTCCACTGTTAGTTCTGCAATTCAAGTTGTGTCGCTTACTATTGCATGTACCATCCATACCCATGTGAGCCATCCTATAACACTGGATATTTGCTTTGCAGAAACACAAATAACCACATAAACCATAAGCAGCAAAATTCATACAAGGACAAAGAATGTGAGCAACAGAACTCCTCATTTTCAAGGTTTATTTTTTACTTCATGACTGAATTTTCATTTTTCTTCTAACCTTATTCTTTTTAAAGCAAGAAATACCAGAATTAACGTGACCATAACTCTGGTTAGTATACGTAAGACACAAGTTACAGTGAACCAGCAAGATCTCTTAGGTCTCATTTTTAGAAACTTTGTTTATACTAAGTTTAGCTGTCTATTGTTCAGCACCTAGATTAAGCTCATCACTGATTCCTTCTACCGTCCAATGGACAGCAATGGGCATCTCAGAGTATGTGATAAAAAGAGGTGGAAAGAATTATGTCAGAAGGAGATTAAGTATATTCTGGAGATGGTCTTTATCACTGCAAAACTCAAGTCATCTGAGCTCCCTAAAATATATGTCTTTTTAGACAGCAAGGTTGGAATTCACCTACATTTAGAAGCCTACAAATGGACATCAAAACTCACGCTAGGAACCTAGATAATTGCCTGGTTCACTACACAGACATTTATTGGTATTTAAGTTGTTTGCTTAGACCAACTTGATTTTATCTGAAGGACAGCAAATATAGCAAGGGCCCTGACACACTTAGAATAATACGTTAAAATCAGACCACCGAAGCTACTACTGAAACTTTCTCTCTTCACCCTGTAACCCTAACAGAAATCAGCACCTCCAGCTTTGACTTATTTTAAAATGTCAAGCAGCAGACCAGCTTGTAAAGAAATTCCTGCATTTCTAGAGTCAGTTATCCCTCCCCTCCAGAGCGGAAGAGAAGGGTGGAAAGAAGGAAGAGTAACAAGAATGTCAGACCCCTAAACAGCATACCTCACATCTTCTCAGAGATTAATAATTAAAGGCAAAAAGCCACATTACACTATTTAATTCAGATTCCCAATACAGCAAGACTTTTACCTGGGTACCCCTTTATTAAAGCCAATACCTTGCATGTCTTCTAGACGTTCCACAGTATTGGAAACCTCAACTCATCCATCAGTGCCCCGAGTAGCCTCAGTAGTTAATAGCCCTGTTTAGAAAGAGCAACCTGTTTCTATCGGAATTTCTCAGGAGGTAATTTCCAGTTGGTTATTGCTTTGATTTTAGTGCTTAATTAGAAGAGTCCTTTAGTTTTATTTGTTCTCCATGAAGATACTTCACACTTTAAGCAAAGAGCCTGTAAATCTCTCTTCATAACCTAAACAAATTGAAGTCCTTCAGTTGCTTGTTCTAACATATCTTTTTTCCAGCCGTAAGAGAAGCAAGAAAATTGAGCAGTTAAAACAAAATGCTCAGGGTTCTTGGAAACAGCTGAACCTGAAACTGAATGATGGTAAACAAAGTTTTTTATGTCAGTAGAAACTGAGGGGTCTTAGCGTCCCACAGGGTCAAGCCCTTCACTTGCACTTAAGAGCACTCAATGCAAAAATCATGAATGTTCTTGCCCATTCAGGATGCTGGCTTTACAAAAATAACTTTTTTTGCTTTGTAAAGCTCAAACATTTCCAAAGCTTTGCAATGTGTAGTTCAAGTATATTATCACAACTACACCGTGGGCTCTGGGAGAAAGACTGTTTATGGTTTACAGACATATTACAAGGGAGTTGCAATAAAATCATACCACTTTGTTTTCACTCCTGACTGCACTAAATACCTGGATGAAATCAACTGCAAACAAACTTTCCTGCATCGTTTCCAGCCTCAGCTTTTACTTACATGGTTAGCAGCGCCTCATCTCTTCACAGCTCATAAACAAAAAAGTAATGCTTTATTCACTGCCGATCTTGCACTAAACAACATGAAGAAAAGTCCTTTATCCCGCATTCAAATCTTTTAGGAAGTCTCCGTGTACGGTACTTTTCTATTTTGGCTCTGTGCTCTCTACAAGAACGAGAGACTTGCGTTCCTCTACCCAGTTATTCCTACAGCCATTAACACTCACAGACCTGCATAATAGGTCTTCACAGACCTATTCTGCATAATAGACATAACAGGTTTTCACAGACTGTGAAAAACAGCACTCTTTAGAGGTCCGAGCATCTGCAGCTCCCCACAATTTTTCAAAATGGGAATGTGTTGGTTGAGAAGGAGGAACAAGACTGTTCAGTATGGCCAGCCTTTGGTTGGTCACCTTTGGACACCCGAGAGGATTGTCGGAACCACACTGCTATAAACTGCTACCTCATGAAGGACAAGAAGCCGCACAGGTATGCTGACAATTTTATCTGCATTGTATGTGTGCATATGGAGTTAGTTCATCTTCTGAAACACATGCTTCAGCTCAGTCTCATATTAACTGTTGACGTGCAGCTATAGCAGTTTCTGTTTTCTATTTAAGGCATAGTAAGGAAAACAAAACGCACAGAAAAACCATTTCAGAAGACAACTGTTTGGTACGAGACTTTGATCATTGCACCATTTCACACAAGAGCCAGCTCATCCTTGAAGCAGGCCTCCAGAAATCCAACACTGACCTGGATTCTGCAGTCCTGAGGGGCTGGCTCATGAATTCAGGACTCCACTGCCCAGAAATATTTGTTGCTCAACTAACACTGACCTGGATTCTGCAGTCTTGAGGGGCTGGCTCATGAATTCAGGACTCCACTGCAATAACGGTGATTTACCTTCACCCAGATTTTGCTTTGCTATTGACACTGCATAAAAGGCATATTTAAAGCCAACACATCAGTAAATTTGACTCTGCAAGAGACAGACACTTCTCCACTGGGAACCAGACAAATGATGCAAAATAATTTTGCACAGGACACTCAACTCTAATGTTTTCAACAGCTTTTAGTTGTTAAAAATACCAGCAGTAGTCACTGTCAACAGATATTTGAAAACCTGCTTTACCTGCTGCAGGGCCTAAACAATTATTCCTGATTTGAATGTTTCAAAGCCCTTTATTTGTGGTCTACCGGTTCCTTCTATAAAACTTTGTTTGGTTTGCTCTCCAACTCCATGGTTGGAAACTCCATTAGAATACCTGAAAGCCTAAGAAACACTGACTTTTTATTCGCCCAACTGCTCCAAGGAAACCATTTTTGTTTGCCTGTAAAATCTGGCATCGGTTCAACATCCTTGTTTACCTCTGAAACTAAACACCCTTAGAAAGCCCAGCAACCCGGCTTCAAGTTTGTTTACAGTGGAGGCTCTAGTAACCGAAATAGAGAAGGCAGAGACACCACACTATCACCCTGTCATGCAGCCTTAGGGGTATCATTCCAGAGACAGTTTGAGAAACAGCAGGGTTAAGAGCCACATTTTGTTTATAGCCTCCATATACAACCTATTCTTCAGATTAAATGGGCACTAAAAGCTTAAAGCCTAATACATTTTAACAGCTGTTAGTCACCTAGTCCTTTTACAGTTTTATGAAATGGTTTTCTGTTTTGCTTCATCTCAACTATATAAAGATGCATCAAAACACAGTAAATGACTGACTAAAAAACCACTCAGCAAAAATATCAGAGATCTCTGTCACATAGATAAAATTGAGAAAAAAATTGGAAAAATACAGAAAAATATTTCTCTTTCAATAGTCAGTTATTTTAACTCTAAGTAATGAAAATGCCCTGCTTTTTCTTAAGAAAGTACTTGAGACAAGTATCTGAACTATTCATGTGCAACATCTAGTTTTCATCTGAATAAATAAGGAGTTGCTTCCCCACCACAACACTGCCAACAGGAGGGTATAGTTCCCCATCTAGAAATTAAGTGTTTTACTAAACCTAGGCAAACGCTGAGAATATTTTGAGGTTGCCTACCCCTTACTTCCTGTCATTCACTAAATTCCACTGACACAAATGCGTGCAATGGTTTTCGAGCTGCAAATGCTCAGTTCTACTACAGCAGTGAATCTGTACAGCTTCTGGCAGGTTTTAGTATGGTCTAGTGCTTAGAACTGCAGTCTATACAGACAAATGTGGGGTGGAATACAATACAGAGAGAGATTAAGGTGAGGGAAAGCAAACATCTTGGTAGCTCCCAGTTTTACTTCTTTTAATGTAAGTATACATGTAACTCACCCATTTCTTGTAGGCATACACAGTAAATGGAAGCAAAAACTGTATTAAACACGTGATACACGTTGAGTAGCTCAGTTCAAAGTCCAAAGTTGGTATGGTATGCTGCCTTTATGATGTGTCAAACTGGACACATTATATTAGGCTGGGCTCATGAATAGGTGAATACCGTGAATAGGTTTCAAAGCACATGGGTAAGGGTAAACAAGAGATTACTCACACCTTTTAGGACTGAATAGTTGAGTAAGTATGTTGCCAAACTAGGTTAGCAAAAGAGCCCTGATGCTTAAAATTTGTCTGTATCTCTGCATAAAGTTTATAACAAGACCCCAATCGTAATTTGATGAAAGTGGCTAAAAAATTGCACCTGTTACGTATTCCCTTGACCTCTAATTCACTCTGTGTAATAAATATTTTGAAGGATACAAAAACACAAAAAGATCTTGACTTGAACTTGACATATAACATGTGAATAGCTGCAAGAACTCTTATCTAGCTCACCCGGAATTTTTTTTTTCCCCTTTTACAATCCTGTGCTTTGCCACACCTGCTACATTCCATAAATCAAGGTGAATCAGAGGCGTGTCACTTTATTCAGCCTACTGTAGCACATCTGTAGAGCCACTCCACAGTTGGCATGCACAGGTAGCACAACCTGCCAAACTCATACGTATGTGAAAGCCATTAGAAAGAAACAAGTTCAAATCTATGCAGCATTCAGAATAAACATGCTAGCAGGATACACAGAATGAAATTCAGATCCTCTACTTAAGTCAATCATGAATATATAGTCATATCTTTGTCTCAGTTTTTATGATGAAATTTAAAACGGAGCGACAATTTCTGTTCTGTGCTACTAAAGGACGCTTATTTTCTCTACACAGAGCTGATTTCATTGTTATTCAGCACCAGTAACTTAACAGGTTTTGCAGAATTACTAATCCCTTCTCATAATAAAAAGGAAAACCAAGGGAATGTAAACTATTTGCCTTAATTTATGAAGCAAACCTACACCAGGACCCAAAACAGACCTCAACCCATCATACCACACGCTGCCTTCCTAAAAGCAGCACTGGCCTTCCGAGTACTTACATTCAACAACACACACAATTTCCTGCATGTATTCTAAATTTTAGGGCAAACCAGTGCTGTCACGAGAGAGCACAAAAGGTCATACGCAGGAAAGAAAACGAACAGTCAACTTTCAGAGCTGTGTGGCCGGAAGGGAGCAGGAGTCACAGAGAACAGGAGATTCGTAGTCACGCTGACAACCACCACCGCCTTGCGAAGGCCACAGCCTGGGGCTGCCGCGACACCTGCAAAGGAGGCAGGTTACAGGCGTCCTGGAGAAACACAGGACAACTCCCAGTAACGCACCCCGCCACAGCCTCGCCTCGCCTCACCCCACAGCATCCTCCTGCAGCCACGGGGCACCCCAGCAGACCCAGCACACCAAGCGAGCTCTGACCCCTTACCAACAGGCCTCGCCGTCCCACCTCGGGGGCTAACGTGCTAACGCAAAACCCCGTCCCCCCCTGCACCCCCGCCACGTCTCCCTGCTTGTGACAGCCGCCTCCCACAGCTCCCCTCAGCCCCACTCCGCTCAGCTCCCCACAACCCCCCTCACCTCAACTCACCTCCTCTCAGCCCCCCATGGCTCGCTACAGCTCTGCTCTGCTCCAGCCCGCCACAGCTCCCCTCAGCCCCCTCACCTCAGCCCCCCTCACCTCAGCC